ACATGTAATACTATAGGAAACCAAGACCTGGCGCATAGCACTAGGCAAGTTGTTTTGCTGTTCTGAGCCTTTCAAATTAAAAAAATATATGTTTTTTTTTAAATTTAACTAAGTGGCATAAAGGAAGCCCAATTCTAGGATCTGAGGCAATCAAAGATGACCTCTAGTGATTTATTGACTCTCTTTTGTGAATAGTCAGCTAAAACTCCCTTAAATGCATTCTCTTTCATCCATTAAATGAAACTTAGAAGAAATTATACTAGACTCTAGAACCATAGGTTCTCAAACTTGCATAACCTACTGCCCCTTCTTAAAAAAACAAACAGACAAAAAAAACCCAACTCGCTTGCCCCTGGCGATTATTATTGTTACTATTACTATAGTCCAGAACACAAGGCAAAATGTAGGTAGCTTCTCTTGCAGACTCTGGGTCATGCCAGCATCACACTCTTACCTCCTCACCACAGCCGCCTTGTGTGGGAAACACGAGGCTGGATTCTATCTGCTCTCTGCGTCTGTAGGACAACTTTTTTTAAAAATCATTTTATTAGGGGCTCATACAACTCTTATCACAATCCATGCATACATCAATTGTGTCCAGCACATCCATACATATGTTGTCATCATCATTCTCAAAACACCTGCTTGCTACTTGATCCCTTGGTATCAGCTTCCCATTTTCCCCTCCTTCCTCGCTACCCCTCCCCCTTGAACCTTTGATAATTAATAAATTATTAGTATTTGTCATATTTTACACATTCCTATGTCTCCCTCACCCACTTCTCTTCTGTCCGTCCCCCAGGGAGGATGTTATATGTAGACCTTGTAATCTGTTCCACCTTTCCCCCTCACCTTCCCTTTCCGCCCCCCTCACCACTGTCCCTGAGGGGTTCATCTTTCCTGAATTCCCTGTATTTCCAGCTCCTATCTGTGCCAGTGTACATCCTCCAGTCCAGCTGGATATGTAAGGTAGAATTGGAATCATGATAGTGGGCGGGGGAAAGCATTCAAGAACTAGAGGAACATTATATATTTCATCATTGCTATGCTGCACCCTGATTGGCTTGTTTCCTCCCCGCACCCCTTCTGCAAGGGTATGCCCAATTTCCCACAGATGGGCCCTGGGTTCCCACTCCACACTCCCCCTCATTCACAATGATATGATTTTTTTTGGAGGGGGGTCTCTTTGATGCCTGATACCTGATCCCTTTGACGCCTTGTGATTTCACAGGCTGGTGTGCTTCTTCCATGTGGGCTTTGTTGTTTCTCAGTTAGATGGCCCCTTATTTATCTTCCAGCTGATAGGACCCCAGATTCTATATACTTTGACAGCCATGCATCGTCAGCTTTCTTTACAGCATTTGCCTATGCACCCACTTTGTCTTCAGCATTCGTGTAGGGGTAGGTTGGTGTGCTTCCTGCATGTGGACTTTATTGTTTCTTAGCTAGATGGCCACCTGTTTATCTTCAAGCCTTTAAGATCCCAGATGCTATATCTTTTGATAACCGGGCACCATCAACTTTCTTCACCACTTTTGCTTATGCACCCACTTTGTCCTCAGCGATCAAGTCAGGACAGGCCGATGTGCTTCTTCCATGTGGATTTTGTTGTCTCTCAGCTAGATGACTGCTTGTTTATCTTCAGGTCTTTAAGACTTCAGGTATTATATCTTTTGGTAACCAGTCACCATCAGCTTTCTTCACCACATTTGCTTGTGCACCCATTGTCTTCAGTGATCATGCCAGTTTGAGCATCTCAAACTGCTGAATTGTTAGAACAAAGTGTTCTTGTGTTGAGGGAGTACTTGTGCAGGGGTCCACTGTCCATCTGTTTTCTTAATACTCAACCTTTAAATATATGTACATAGATCTATTTCCCCCTCATTGTCTATAAATATATTTACATCTTTATATGCTTGTGTTTAAATCTCTATGACTACCCTTTGCCTCCTAGTTCTTTCCTCTATTTCTTTGCACTTTCCTCCTGTGTAGGACAGCTTTAAACATCTGTCCTTCAGGCCTTCTCACCCTTGTCTCTGTTTTTCCTTCCCATCATTCTGCTCTTTGTCTCCCACTCTACTCCTTTCCTCCCTCTCTGTCCATTCTTCCTCCCTTTCCCTATCTTTCCTCTTGTTATCTCTCTATCTTTTAAAGGATAAGAGTCTTCCATAGCCTGGCTGAGATTGATCATTGTTTAGCCTCAGATTGATTTAGGCCAATTAGACCTTTGTCTCAAAAGAAAGGCCTGGCTGGCAGTCTCCTTCTGAAACTTCAGCCAATGGAAGCTATGGAGAGCATGCCCAGCTTGACACATATTGGGGTCATTATGAATCAGAGTGAGTTCAGTGGTAACCATTTTTTCTCGCACAATATATTTTGAGTTATCTAAAACCGAGTCATTTCAAACATTATTTTGCACACTTTGCCTACTAGATTAACTTTTCTAGTTGATCATTGTGGCCATATTTCCTGGTATACTATCTGTGCAATAACACCAACAATCAATAGATGGTGTTGAATTACTAAAGGATGCTGATCTTAGAACTGTGGCTTTATTTAGGAGCACCGTACTTTTCTTATTCTGTCAGTCTGGACACTTTCACTAGATCCATTTACGTATCTCAAATTTAGATAGCTACCAACCCTTTTCATTATTCTTCCAGCTCAGTAGCATCTCTCCTGCTTTGATGCCACGCTTCTTGCTTGCCCATTGTTCTCCCCCAACTCGTTGCAATCTGTGATGTCTGAATCTGCATTGTCTCCATATTTCAATCCATTTCAGTGCAATTGTCAAAATTTTAAAATCAGCACTTTGATTTTGTGGGAAATTAGCATAACAGAGGTGCTTATAGCCTATTAGATAAGTTCAAACTCTTACCAGGTCATCTATTCTTTTCTAGTATTTACCCAACCATATATTCTGCATTAACCTCCAGCAGATACTTGTGCAGCAGTCAAACAGGATTACAATTTTTCCAACCCACTTCTTCATTTTATATTATCTTGTTTTTTCTGTATTTTCACCATTCACCCAAACTATACATATAGATATTACCTTTATTCATTGAGACATAACACAAATCTCTATTTTCCAGAATGAAGTTATTTCCCTCTTTTGGATTTTTACATTTTATTCCATTCACATGTCACATAATAGGTGGTCTTGCACTATTTTTTTTATTTTAGTACTATCTGAGGTTGAAAAAATATGGCGAGCTCTTGTTGTCCAGCATTGTTTTCCATCACCTTAGTATAGTATATTTTATATAACAGACAATCTGTTTTTAATTCATAAGAAATGGAAGAAAACACACCTGGTGTTTTTTCTGATTTCTTAATGAGACATTTTTATTCACCTAGTCTAAGTATTGAGAATTCTTACTTTTTAATTTTAAATGGTTTGAGAGTAAAACATGGCCTTTAGTGAACATGGCCAGTAAACTATAGCTGGTGGCTACTCATAGGCACCAAAAAATCATAGTCTATCCAAGAATTCTTAGGCTAATCCTAGCTATTACTGCCTGGTAGGTTGGTTGACAGTGGGGCTGGAGTCTGTTCTTAGTATTCTGATTGGACTGAGCTACACATATCTTATCATCTTACTACTTTCCCTAGTGGGTGAAGAAGTTTTTAAAAAATAAATAATAGGAAAACCACATCTTCTTTCCAGCCTACCAATAGTGCTGAAGTAACAGATTGAAACAACAAACAAACAAAAAAGTTATAAAACAGATAAGATATTGTGAGCAGCCCAAAGATTGTTATACATTTAAAACCCAAGCATCAGATTCTACAGATAGTGGTGTGTATGTCGGGGGCAGGCAGAATTTAATAGTTTTGAGGTTTTCAATGAAATGGTCATCAATATATTTTAGACCACACATTAAATACATTGAACTGGAATCCCAATTTTGACTTGTCATCTGTGTACTGCGCTAGTTATTGCTCATAGAATAAAACAATACTATAAATGAAAGAAATACTAAAACATATATTAAGCATTATCATTGTTTTCCTTATTTCCTTCTGATTTTCATTTAGCAAGAGCATTAAACTGTTTCCTTAGTGAGTTAAGGGGTGGCAGTAGTGAGACCCTCGTCTGTGCCTTGACTTCATTCTTTTCACTTAAATCTTTATACTGTGGTGGTATATTGGTTCCTTTGCTTTGTGAATGTTGTCACAAAATAACTCATTATGTAATTTTTTATTAAATATAATGTTAAAGTTGCTTTGCGTGAGGAGAGATTGCACTTCAGATAGATGCATGCGACTCCTCTCTGTGCAGTGGTGATAGATGCCTCCACTCTTTGTTGTGGCTACCTCTCCCAGTATTTTCCAGTTAAGTGGACATTCACCTCCCAGTTTGGTTTGGGTGACAGAGATTATAGACTGCCAAACCTGCGTGTTTCCTGATGAAAGGCAGAAAAACACTAAGAAGGAAAGAGGACTGTGTGAACTCCCCATGTGTTCCTAAAATTCTTTTCATATTTTTTCTTTGCTTTGATGAACAACATCATTATGAAATAATAAATGGTAATTAATATCTGTATCACTTTTTGCAAATGACAGTTTAGTACCACAATTAGAGTAATTAGTGTACAGCATAGCTGGGTGACATGACAAATCATAGAGCAGAACATGTTGACTCTTATCCATTTTGATGTATTAGCTAATTCCCTGGCTCAGAAAGGACAAAAGAAAAGACAGAGGGAGGTGGACAATAACAATGGCAACGATAGAGGCTGTGGCCCTGTTTTCAGGCTTTTGTTTTCTCACCAAGTGCCTGTGAATTTTTGACATCTTACATTATATTTCTTTCTCTTGGTAAATTGCTGTCTCTAATTGAATCGTTTAAGGATAGTCTCATCATTAAAAAAAACAACATGAGACTGGAAGTACAGGTTTCCATGTTTTGCTTGGTTTGCATATTCTCACTGTTTTACTTTTCCATGATTATTCATGGTGAAGGTGACTGATGTCTGAATTTCTTTATTTTTCAGAACCTATGCGAACCCCAAAGACCTTAAAGATTGCTGAGATACAGGCAAGACGCATTGCTGTGGACTGGGAATCCTTGGGCTACAACATCACTCGTTGCCACACTTTCAATGTCACAATCTGCTACCATTATTTCCGTGGTCACAATGAAAGCAAGGCCGACTGTTTGGACATGGACCCCAAAGCCCCTCAGCATGTTGTGAGCCATCTGCCACCTTATACTAACGTCAGCCTCAAGATGATTCTAACTAATCCAGAAGGGAGGAAGGAGAGTGAGGAGACAATTATTCAAACGGATGAAGATGGTAAGCTCATACTTGCTCTTGAAAAGAGAGAATTATGTAATTGCTTAAATTTCACCTATATTAGCAGTTCCTGATCTGAGTCCTGAAATCTGAGGTGAGCGTTGAAAAGACTTTGCCTTTAATAAAATTGCTTGCTTATTTTCAAAGAAGCATCCAAATACTAAATCAAATGTAGTCCACTTGACTTCTCTTTTTAGATACATTTTTGTTGAAGTAGGAACTTTAATAAAATGAGAATATTTTTATTAAAATTGCAAAAATAAGTTTCATTATTCATGACACTATTTCAAGTACATATTGTAAAATGCACTTGATCTTTTAAGTAGTTTTTTCCCCCCATAGAGCTGTACTATCTGCTTTCATTTTCCATAAATTCAAAATCAATATCATCATTTATACATCTTATTTTATTTAAAAAGTTATTAGCATCCAAGTAGTTATACGGCACTTTATCTACTTGTGTGTTCTACTTCTGAATTAAGTATTAAAAAGAAATATGTATATTAATATAATACACACACTGTTCCGAACAATATATGATCAATGTAAATCAGAATACATTTTCTGATCAATAAAAAAGTTTTGGAATACTTTAATATAGCCCAAGTGAAGACGATGCCTGGTGTTACATTCCCAATTGGACACTTTTGACCTAGTTTGTAGCTAGACCATGGTAACCTGGTCCATGAGCTTTAGCCTACTGGACCTTTCGACTCTGTTCTTTCAAGGTGTACAGCATCCTTCATAGGCCACAACAGAAGGACTAAATGTGGAAATCCCACTAATTGAACTGGGTTTTACTTCAAAGTCACCTGCATCCCTTGGGATTAAGGCTGAGACTCCCTAGTGTGAAAGCAGGTGACTGCTATCACGAGGGTAAAGAGCTGGCAATCATTGGTTTGGTTCAGAACTCTTGCTTTGAGTGTGCCCGGTGAATGGTGAGCTGGGAATACTGTATACTCATTATTTTAAGGCCTTCCTTGCTTCATTGTAACATGTATTAATCTTGTGTATGTGGTTTCCCATTATCAATAAATATTATTAAAAGGTTTACCCAATCAACGACACCCTGTCTCCCCCCCACAAATGTACTGGATATTATACAAAAACTCTTTAAGTGATGATAATATTCTTATAGTGATGATGGGGTAATGCACTCTTGGTGTAAGATATTTCATTTAATTTTTTTTTGATTAATGAAAACATCTAATTTTTTAGAATATAAATATATATATATAAAGTGTGCTATAAAATGAGCTGAGACAAAGCTGGACAGGAAGTCCTACCCCTGTAACCTTGGCAAATCTTTTTATCTCTCTTGCTCTCTGTTTCTCATCTCTTAAGAGAGGGTTTAAACTAGATGATCTCTCAAGTTCCATCTCTTTCTGAAATTCTTTCTACTTAAATAGCTTAACAGCATGGCTACATTTTTATTTGTGTTTACGAAACAGGATGTCTTTTATACCCAAGCATTGGCAACTCCCTTCAAGGTCTGAGCTTTAGAGTGAGATCTATAGTTTGTGCCTACCAAGGATGACATTGCCATGAAATGATTAATGTGCCATAGCTTCTCCAACTGCTTTCTATTGTTTCAAGCCACCCCCCTCTGAAAAACGGAAATGATTTTCGTTAGTATTGACATTACGATTAAGGAAAAGAGAGCATTCTTTAACCTCCCCTAGTTCAATATTTGTAGGGAACAATTATTGTAGTCCTACAACGGACCTTCTTAAACTTTTTCCACGTGTGACCCCCCCCCCTTTTTGTGACCCCCTTTTATAACACAGGCAAGCACTACCAGAAACACCTTGGATTCGTTATGTGTTTAATGTTGAGTTATTTTTTGGTCATTTCATGTTCAGAAATCTTTTACTGTTGCCCAATTTTTTTGAGACCCCCAAATTCAGTTACGTGACTCCATATGTGAGATCATGACTCACGGTGGAAGAAGCTTTGTAATCGAAAGCTGACATAGACTTACTTTCATATTCCTAAATTTTCAGAATTTAAGCTTTACACTTACTCATAACAGATCCATTGCTGTTTTGAGATAACACTTTTCAGCTGATGTTTTTGAACTTGTTTTTGAACTAACTCATGACTGAAGCGGCAACTGTATTTTAGTTTTAAAACTTTCCCTATCGTATATATGAGGAAGAGCCCTGGTGGCCTAGGGATTATGGATGCATTTGGCCACACAGTTCAGGAGTTTGAAACCACCAGCTATGCCACAGAAGAAAGATGAGGCTTTCTGTTTACATTTTAAGCTTTTTTTTTAAGTCATTTTATTAGGGGCTCATTCAACTCATCACAATCCATACGTACATCAGTTGTATAAAGCACATTTGTACATTTGTTACCCTCATTATTCTTTTTTTTTAAATTACTTTATTGAGGGTTCGTTAAGCTTTTTTGATGCTATTTGATATGGTTTATTTCCCACAAACAAAAGCAAGCAGCCAGGTTTATAAAATCTTTCTCATGTTACATTCAAATTTGAAGAAGTATGTGGGGGCACATAATTCTGATTAGATGATTAATCAAAATACAAATGGCTGTACAATTTTAATTTATTCCCTAAATTGATAAAGTTCATGACTGTGCTGTTTACTTTGTCCAGAAATAGTTTTCCCAACATAAAACACCATTGCCTCTATATTTAAATATCCATATTTTTTGACATGGTAGTTTTCTTTACCCTCTGCCTTAAAATTTATATTGATTTTAATTATCATCTGATACATATTACTAAAAGTTGATAGTCCTACCACAGACTCATCTCTTCTGCAGTGAGTTTGTTTTCTCTTTTGTTGTATGCATAGACTGGATGATTGAAATATAGATATTATATGAAATATTTGCACAAGCATACTACACTTCAAACCTGCTCCTGTGAATTCAGTGTGTACATGTGATATTTGATGTGTCTTAATGTTTAAGCAGTGGGAGCAGACTATCTAAATAATAATCTCTTGCTCCAAAAATCGATGGATTGTGACAATCTGATTAAATCAGTCTTACTAAGTTATTGCTGCCCTACATACACAGAAAAGGAATAAATTATCAACCATCTAATAAAAGGGTATAATTTCATGAAAAGAATTCTGGGGAATATCCATAAATCATGAGAACGAAGCTAGAATGATTTCCCACCAGAACCCTAAGGTAGAATTTATACTTAATTTATTGCATACATTTTTTTAATGCATGGGTAGAACTTTTTTGTATAAGGTTCTGTTTCCATTTTTTATTCCAGCATTCATAAAAATCAATATTATAAAGTTAGCTCAGCAGAAAAACTTGTATTGGGAACATTTTTTGAGGTACAGAGCTATTTTTTTTTCTATAACAGATTAACTTTTTTAAAATAATCATTTTATTAGGGGCTCATACAACTCATCACAATATGTACATACGTCATCTGTGTCCAGCACTTTAGTACATATGTTGACTTCATAATTCTTACGACACCCACTTTCCACTTGAGCCCCAGATGTCAGCTCATTTTCCCCTTCCCTACCCCCTCCCCCTCCCTCCGAACCCCAGATAATTAATAATTTATTATTATTTTATCATACAGAGCTATTTTTAAATACATGTTTTATTACATTTTAACGACTGTAATGCTTATTTCACATCATCTTGCCCCTCCCTCATTTAATTGACTGCCCATTTTTCATTTTGAAAGCTGTATTTTAGAGAAATTACCTATATACTCATGAAAGTTACCTGGAACAACTCTCAAATAAATCACCAACAGGAGAACAAACAGCAGCTTTCTGTCTCTTTTCAAAGTTTTGATGTGGAAATGGGAAGTGACATTCCCTGCAAATCGGTAGGCTTCCATGATAAGGATGCTAAAAACTTCCTGTATTTACACAAATCATCAAATGATAACAGACATATAAATAAGCATCTTCTTTCTTCAAAGGTACAGTTTTGTATGTTGTTGAATCCATTTTGACTCCTAGCAGAATATGAACTGCCCATAGTTTCCTTGGCTGGAATTCTTATGGAAACCGAACACCTTGTCTTTTGTCTCATGAAGTCATGGGAGGGAGGGGTGTTCAGTGAGCAGCCAAGTACCAGGTCCCTGTAAATAATGTTATAGGGGCAAACAGCCTCATCTTTTTGGACATGCTGGTAAGTTTGAACTGCCCACCTTCTGGTGAACAGCCTAACCCATAGCACTCCTAATATAATTTGTCTATGCCCCACACCTGAACCTTTCCTCTGTGTACATGTGTGTGCTTTAAGTCACTTTTCTAGTTCTTTCTCTGGCTTCATATTATGTAACCATGTGCCCAACACTCTGTTTTCCATGCATTTCGAGCAAGTAGCTTTCCTCTCTTACAGCTATGACCGACAGGTATTTTAAGTTACTCCCACTGGTAAAGGAGAATGTATATCAAAAGAGCAAAGAAATAGAATAGTTCTAGGGAAGTTAAGCCAGTCTCCAATTTTACACCTTTAGATATAAAATTAGGCAAAATATCCCTATTTGTGTACAATTTTAAACATATTCTTCATAGTATCTTCAGGCCGATTTGTGTTGAGTGAACATACTAAGCTTTCACTATCATATTATGATACCATAAATCAACTGTTTCTCAGTATTTGGAATTTTCAACCCTGATGCCTCATCACATCGTGTTATCTGAAAATGCAAACTTGTTTTTCCCGTAATCTCCTGTGTAAGCGTGCACCCTCTGAGCAGACGAGGAACATAGATCAGAAAGCAAACTCTTGTCCGTGATGGGCTCAGCAGATGTCACAGGTTGCACAGTGGTGATGTCATGGCCTGCTGTCTTTATCAGCTGTCCAACCTGTGCCCAGACTGTGGAGCAGTGAGTGCGTGCATGCCTTTGGTTAACTCCTCCCAGAGCCCTCTGTTGAGAGATGCATGGATTCATCTCCCGAAGTTTAGTATTGGCATCTCTTTTTAGTGTGATCTCTTATCTTCATGCATTTATTATGAACATGCCAGATGATATTGGCTGTCCCAAAGGTCCTGACATCACTCATAGTCTCTTCATAGATGGAAGTACTTTGTACTCTTTTAAGATATCATTCAGAGTTTGACACTGCTAGCCACAATGAAAAGCATTTCCTTTGATCCAGTGATTTTTAATTTATTTCTCAGTGATTTTTAATTTATTTCTATCCTCACAAAATTGCCATATACTTGAAACTACATTTCTATATAAGGTCATGTGTGAAGTTCATTGAAATGTTAGATGAAGAAAAATATTAATTAAAAACCCTCCTTGCACAGTATTGGAGTTGATACTTTCAAAGGAACATGGTTTACAACAAATAAAGATAGGTAGTATGTATGTGAAGCTTTCATCTTATCCATCTTTAATATTTCCTATATTGCATTTTTTTCTATATTTTTCCAGTTACTTGAGCTAGCAATTGAATGTCTATGTAAATAAATCCCAACTGGGTATCTATGTGAAGTCTATAAAGGTAAAAGTATGCAATAGAATATTAATCTTGTTCTTTTCAGTAGAGGTGACAAACTGTCCCGCACTGCCACTGGCTGTCATGGTATATTATGCATTAGGCTGCTAACTTCAAGATCAGTAGTTCAAACCATCAACTACTCTGCTGGAAACCAAAAACCAAATCAAGCTCACGGCCATGAGTCAATGCTGATGTATAACGACTCTGTAGGACAAGGTAGAACTGCCCCTTTGAGTTTCCGAGACTATCTCTTTATAGGAGTAGAAACCCATCTTTCTCCCTCGGAGCTGCTGGTAGTTTCAAACGGCTGACCTTGCAGTTAGCGGCCCCAAAGGTAGCCAGTATTGGAATTTATAAACAATATATGCCATTAGGCTCCTAAAGATAAGACTTTCTACCCCCCGTAAAGATTTACAGTCTTGGAAACGCAACAGGGCAATTCCACCCTGTTCTATAGGGTTGCTTTGAGGTGGAATCCGCTTGACAGCAGTGAGTTTGGTTTGAAGTTCGCCCCACGGGGTATTGATACGGAAATAAACCTTGAGTGAAGTGTCCTCAAATCTTGTCATCCTGGGGACATGTTAAAGCTAGTTATTGTATTGATTGTTTAATTCTAAATAAGTCCAATGTTCTAAAATTATTTTAACTCTAAACTTTGATAAATTGCATTTCATTTGAATGATGAAAGCAAAGTACAGTTGAATAGTAATCTGAGACTTTTTTTGTTTGTTTTTGAATCTAAGACTTTAGAAAAGTCATCGCAAACACCGTCTCTCTTTTAAAATTCTAGAAATGTAATATAGTTATAATAATCAGGTTGATTATTAAGGGGGTATTTCAATTCAGTGCTATGTGATTTGGCTTTTGATTCCAAGGAGTACTAATTATTACTATAATTTATTGTTTTGTGAACTTTATTTATGGAAACTCTTTAGGGACTTATCATAATCTTCAAAAATTCTTTCAGGGAAATTACAACTCTGTTTTTGAAACAAATTACAAATGAGATCTCTGTGTTATTAGAGGTATACAACAGAGAAAACTAGGCAGGGCAATTTATTCAACTCTCTGAAGTGACAGTGTATGCTTTTGAATAAAAATAACTGTGCATGTATAAATTTGCTATATTAATATAAACTTACTTTATATTCTTAGATATCACAATAAAGTTAGAAAATTGCTGTGTCTTTTTAATGTATATTCTTATTTATTTTATTTTAAATTTATTTTTAATTTGGTTTGTATAGTTAGTGAGGATCTTCTTGTAACCAAAAGATACTTGTGCTCATAGTGCCTGGCCCTGTACCAGTCAAATCTCTCAGAGGAACGTCCTTTGAAAACAAAATCTTCTTGAACTGGAAGGAACCTTTGGAGCCAAATGGGATCATCACACAGTATGAGGTATGGGAAAAACAAGGAAGCTAATAGAAATATTAATTGGAAGAATAAGAGGGAGTGAAGAAGGGAAACTAGAGGGAAATCATGGAAAATAATTAAATAGGTGCCTGGGTATTAAAATCATTATTAGTTCCCTCTGTTTTGATTTATAAATTTTATTATGCCAAGACTGGCAATCCAAAGTGTATGTCTAATACCTACAATTTTCAGATTTGAAATTTAAATGTATTTTATGGCGAAACAAGGCTGGCCTTGTGGAAACAGACATCCTGATGTATCTAATGAAAGATCACCCCCCCAAAAAAATCCTAGAATTTCCTTTATATGAAATTAAAACATTTATATTTCATACTTTGACTTAGGTGAGACTCCTGAATGTCAATTGTTTCAAAGTAAGGAATTAGTATCTAGCTATCTATCTAATCTATCTATCATCTATCTATCTATCTATCTATCTATCTATCTATCTATCTATCTATCTATCATAAACCTAATTTATCCATAGCTTCATGTCAACTTTGAATAGAAATCCTTATTTTATTTTCAGATATGAGAAGCTAAAAAGAAAAAACCTAAAAGAGCATTTCAATTGCACAAATATGTAATCCTCTTTTTGATAGGGGATTTTGAATAGGATTTACAATGCCTGGATTTTCTGGTGGGTCTGGGATTGAGTAGGAGCCTTAGTGATGCCATGGGGAAGTGCCCAGCTGCTGTCCAGAAGGTCAGTAATTTGAACCTACCCGGAGAATGAAGTGGCAGTCTACATCTGTAAAAAGTTAGAGCATTGAAAAAAAAAAATTAGAGCATTGGAAATCCTCTGGGGATCTTTTCTTTTCTTCAGTGTTGCTGAATCATAATTATTTAATAGCAGTAGGTTTGATTTGGTTATGATATGGAGTGTATCATGGAAATGAGAATCACCAACATAGTCTTATATTGAGCGATGATATTAAAATTATTGAGTAATACTGGCATGAAATTGTTTAGGTACTTTAACATGTATTTCTTTTAACATTTTCTGTGTTTCATCTTCACTGAATTCTATAGCCATAAAATTTAGTATGAATGAACATTCATAATTAGGTATATTAGTATATTTATATTTTTTGATGGAAGAAAATGTATATTGTTCTAGTCAAGTAATGGCTTCCAAGATTATGATAGATAGGTAGAGAAATAGATGATAGATAGATAGATGATAGATAGATAGACAGATGATAGATAGATAGATAGATAAAAAATAACATCAAAAATGAGAAGGAATAAAGGTGGGGGAAAATTATGTGTTACTCCAGAGAAATGCTATTTGTATGTGTTAGGTTGGGTTCTGCAAAGAAGCAAAACTAGTGACATACACATATATCGGGAGAAAAAATTGTGTCAAGTATGTGATTTACCCAGTTGTCAATGCACTTACATTCAGTCTGAGTTCCATGGGTCAGCTGTTCAACTAGAGGCTTCTCTATACTAAAGTAGCTTCACGGACTGTTGAACCCAAGATTGACAGGAACATCACTCGCTAATATCAGGCTGTAGAGGCCAGTGGTTACAAGGTCGGCAAATCAGACTTAAGACTGGAAAGGGGAATGGATCCAATGTCAGCAGCTCGGTTAGCTGACTGCTGATGATTCCCAGGGCCGACAGGAAATATGGCAGACCTTGGCTGTTGTCAGCTCAAATCCAAATAACCAGAGGTCAGTGAGCCAGCTAGAGGATTCAGAGCCTACAAAAAGCAGTTAAACTGTTCCACAGGGTCTATTGACAAAAGGAGTAGTCCACACCCCAAGGCAACTTCTGTTGTAATTTTAACCAGGGCAGTGTGACCTGTAAGCTACAGCAGACCCTATGATGTCCTGGAGTGGATTGCGTGATGGATATTATTGAGTTCAGGCACACCCTGGGTATTGCTGGTTCCTAACTGCCAACCCACTAGGAATCCTAGCTCAGCTTAATTGAAACAATGCCTAACTTTCATAGTGTATTAGCTGATTTTATAAAGACTTGTTTGTAATTTAAAATTGCTCAGGCTGGACATGGATATAATGAGATGTATTTCTCAACACAGGTCAGCTATAGCAGCATAAGGTCGTTTGATCCTGCAGTTCCAGTGGCTGGACCGCCCCAGACGGTATCAAATTTATGGAACAGTACACACCATGTCTTTATGCACCTCCATCCAGGAACCACCTACCAGTTTTTCATAAGAGCCAGCACTGTCAAAGGTTTTGGACCAGCTATAGCGATCAATGTGACGACCAATATTTCAGGTGTGCACATGAGTCAGTTGCAGACAGAGTGACTCATGCCCTTGGATTGTAATAGCTTGTGGGGGATGATTACGTACATGTGTGAAGTAGTTTGTCTTGCTTGTTGAATACCTACTACTTTTTTATATGATTTAAGACACTTTCAAGAATCAGCTGAATACAAATTATTATCCTGATGTATGTACAAACCCAAACATACCTCAAATAGTCACTTTTAATTGCCATAGTTCTTGAGGGAAAAAAAATTACATCTTTATTAAATTTTTTAAAAGTTTATAATAAACACTAATAGGCTTTGAGGAGCTGTTAAATATGAACCAAACATTATAACATCTGATGTTTATTAAATTTGTTTTTATCAAAAGAATGGCAGAAAATAATTGTGCTAGTATTGGAGTAGCACATACTTTGTCTGTGTCCCATTTTTTCTTGACATGCTGATATTTTTAAGCAAGTATATGCTCTTTCTGTGTCTTACAAACCCACCTACATATATGGGCATCTAAATTGGAAAATGAGAATATGCCAAGGAATGTTTTTAATTGATAAACTAGGATATAACTTCCTTATTATATTATGCTCACAAGTTTATAGTTTGCATTTGGCTAAATTGTTACAGATGTAATTTCTCTCTTAGTCAAATCATCATTTAAGCCTGATTAAATGCTTGCTAGCAATTAGCATTGTAATTTGTTGTAAATCTACTCTAGTTTATATGCTGTATCTTTCTTAAGATTACTAAATATGTATTATATCTGATAAAAGAAAATTAGAATAATGCAATTTTTAGAGGTTTCAGCATTTAATATTTGAATTCTGAATTAGAAATGGTCTCTTTGTATATATTTATTTTCATTACACTTATGAAAAAAAATTTTTAAATCAGTTGCCATCAAGTTAAATCTGTCTCTTGCCCACTTGTATTTGTCAGAGTATAGCTGTCTGTTGTAGGGTTTTCAGTGACTACTTTCTCAGAAGTAGATCACCAGGTCTTTCTTCTGCAGCACCTCTGGGTGAGCCTGAACATCCCAAATGTTAACCATCTTCACCATTCATTCTGTTTCCACTATGTTTGCATGAAATTGTGACAGTTTGGAGAACCAAACAAATGTTCATTATAGATGAACTTTAGAAAGTTCATCCAAAAAATCCAGTCTTTTCATTTCATTTATCCTAGAACGTTTGACGCCCCTCGTGTGTGTGTGTGTGTGTGTGTGTGAGAGAGAGAGAGAGAGAGAGAGAGAGAGAGAGAGAATGGACAGAACCACAGTTGTTTTGAATGGGAATTTCATAATGAAAGATCAGCACACTTCATGGGATATGGCTTACAGTTCTTCAAATCATTTAGTTGTTGTTTCATTTGCACCAACCCAAGAATGATGGGACTTGAATTAGACGTTTAATACTGGCTGTAGTCACTTCTTCTTTGGACAAAAAGTATGGTCAATGCGGCTCTCAGATCATTAGAGTTATGGAAAACCTACATAACTCATAAACACGTCCTCCTTCTGATGTCACTGTTTCTTCCTTTGCATATGGGTTGCGTTTTAAACAAATCATTGAAATATATCGTTTGATTTCCTGGCTTCAGGCATATGATATGTTAATGAATTTTCCCATTAATTGACACTTTTTCTGCTTACATTTCTTCAAAAATCTTCATGTTTCCAAAAGGACACATTCCAAACATCTGCATATAATTAGCATTTGTCACCTTTCATGGCATATTGCCTCCAAACCTCCACTTCTCACCTTAAACCCACAGTTCCAAGCAGTAGCATAGTGCTTCTAGTTTTTGCAGTACACTTTTTTTTTTTTTTGCATTTGGTATCTGCTGCATGCTTACAGTCTCCTCAATCTGGAATCTTATTCCACGTTTTCTCCTCCTGATAAGTGTCTTGCGCTGTCCTGGGAAGGTTTCACTCATGCGTTGAGAAGACTGTGAAGTCTTCTCTGTGTTTCCTTTCCCCGCTCCCAACAGTCATTTAGCCTAGTGGTTGTCAGCATGAGATCCCTGGGCCAATACTATCAACATCAAGCGAGAATTTCCAAGAAATACACATCATTAGGCTTCTCCACAAACCTACTGAATACGCAGCTGTGGAGGGATGAGGGGGGTGGGCCAGCCAGCGGTATTTCAATAAACCTTCCAGATAAACTTGATCACCTCCCTTCCTCTGGCTACTGGGCTTCTTGTTTGCTTATTTCTAAAACTCCCTTTGTTAATAACATTTGAATCCTTACTGTTAATTCTATAAACTAGACTATCAGGGATTGTGTTTTGTCTTTATAGCACTTATCAGAAAATGCGGCCATAATAAAAACACATATTAAACACATTCAGAAGCTTTTAGAAGCCGTTTTCGCTCAGGTCTTTTTGACAATGTACATTTGTCACTGGGCACATATTTTTCTAAACGTTTTTCTGCATGGAAGTCATCTAAAGTTATTATGAAGTTACTTTTTCACCTAGCACTCGATTAGGAAGTCTCCTCATTAACTTTTCTTTCTCTATTTAAAACAAATTTTTGACAACTAATGGGAAATAAAATTCCTATTCCCATTCATTTGGTTTGATAAGTGTCTACTGTAGTAACAATTGCCCAGATAAGAATACTGAGGCATAACAACCAGTCGGCACTGCCGCAGCGGCCAGTTCACTCTGTTCCTGACATCGCACAGCTTCATAGTTGTCTCTGTGAACCAAGCGCCCACGTCTACACAATTCCCACCTTCTTCCTGTCTCCGCAATGCTAATTTCCAGACCTCCAAAAACGGAAAACCAGGATAGTCACAAAATTGTTGGACTGTATATCTCAAACCCCCAGATGATTATTCAAATTTAATAACAAATCCGGTCTTGCTATGTTTGGATGCTCCAGGTTCCCAGAGCTCCTATTCAGTAGCATGTGGTATTCTACGGGACTTGAGTTCTCTATTAAACAGGTTTTAGCCTAAGGTAGCATTATTTCTTCATATAGAGCTATGCTGCTATTGTTTATTGACTGAAACTTTTTCCCTCATTACTCACTTCTCAGCTCCAACTTTACCTGACTATGAAGGAGTCGATGCCTCTCTCAATGAAACCGCTACTACAATAACTGTCTTGCTGAGGCCAGCGCAGGCCAAAGGTGCACCTATCAGGTAAGAGTGTGGGGAAATAATGGGTAATGGAAACACACCGGAAGAGATGTTTATCCATAGTTCAGCAGTCAATAAAGCGGTCCGTTTCTAACAGACATTCATTTGACAATTACTGTCAGCAAGGTGCTGCTTTTGTTCCGGGTGGTTGTGGTTGTTTCTCCCCTTCTTTAGACAATCTTCGTATATAGGCCTGTAGTTAAAAATAAATGTCATGGAGATTTTTGAGATATTTTGCACTGTTGGCTTCAAGATAATTGCTCTCCTCACCTCCAGTCCCATATCATTTCTCTTCCTCTGTTGGTATCTTTAGTAAATGAGTTTTGAAGCTATTGTCAAAAACAAAATGAGAAAATAACTCTTGTACAAAGTAGTAAAGCAGTTATGAATAACTTCATGTGAATGATTGAAAAATAGTAGGAGGCTTTGAAGAAAGAAGAGGAGAAAGGCCTAAGGAATGCAGCCTTGCTGCCTTGTGACGTCTGTATCGGTCTTCTCTGGAATCACACAGTGAATACTAAAGTTATTTTGCTGTGCCATTTTTCTTGCCATGATTAATGTCTCTCATGTTTTCTAATCGTCTTCTTGCAGAAATTCTAAACAGGGTTAACTTTATTTTCAGAGATTGTCTCAACTAATTTTTAACCAGTTTCTGCACATTTGTACAGGTGCACTTTGCATTTTTTACAAATTGAGGGTTTGTGACAGCCCCGTGCTGAGCAGGTGTCTACGCACCACCTTGCCAACGACGTGCGGTCTCTGTGTGTGTATGTCGTATTTTGTTACCGTTCACAGTATTTCAAGATCTTTCATTATGCTCTTGCACACGAAATATAGCTTTTAGGTGCACTGGGAAACAACAAAAAAAAATCGTGTGACTCACTTTATTGTAGTATTTGCTTTATTGTGGTGGTCCGGTTGCTTTATTGCCGTGACGTGGAACCGAACTAATGCTATCCTCAAGGCATTCCTCTCATTAGAAAACTCTAAAGCTTCTCATTCACAGCCATGAAGTCAAGGCCAACTCATAGCGACCCTGTAGGGAAGGGTAGAACTACCCCCATGAGTTTCCAAGACTTTAACCCCTTATGAAAGTTGAAAGCCCCATTTTCTCCCCACTAAATCTTAGTGAAGTATTAAATTTATTTTTTTCCAAAGTTAGCACCAGCTCTTCATCTTAAACTACAATTATGTGATTTATAGGTTTTGCAGGGTTTTTTTTTTATAAAATTAGGCTTCTGTAGATAAATAAATCAAGACAAAGAAATCAGTCTAGGTATTCCATAATTGAGTCACTTTGAGTTGCTTGCATGGCGTTAAGAAAACACACCAAAAAACGGTTCTATATATAAAATATTTTAGCTTACAAGCACACATTGGCTATCCAAATGCTCCTGTGTCACGCTAAATCAGGAATAGTTTTTCTCAGTAAAGAAAACATTGATAAAAGAACTTGAGCCTCTATAGGAAACTCTTGAATCCTGCCTGGCAACCTTCATAGGGAAATCACAGCACAGAAAAAGAGATGGTTCAGTGTGCTTTTACCAAACACTAAAAAGCCCTGACTACACTTGAAAATTCAAAGTAAGTACCTGGAGCTGTTCTTGAATCAATGATCTGTGAGTGGATCTGATTGATGATCCAAAGGAGCATTTTCTCCAGAAGAGAAAATGTCTTCTCTCCAAGTCTTTTTTTTTATATTGACAGGCAATCAGGATCATTCACCTATTCCTACCTGTGACAAAATTTATTTTATGAATGTTCAGGTCTTTTGCTGCTATTTAAATTAACTTCCATGTACTTGCCTTTACCTTTTAAGAGTTATGTATTTGAGTCAATTGGCCTTTACTTTATAACATTTGCAAACTCGTTGCATTGCTGTTACATGATTATGTTCTATATTGGTAGCACCTAGTAACGCGGCTCACTTCCTCAGTTTGTTCTCCGTACATTACATGTCACATTCCATGACATGTAAAGAAAGATCAGATGATCACAGCCAAGCACAGGACCCTTGAACCCTTTTCATCATGGGTCATCCGAGATACCTGCAAACATACAATTTTTTTGCACATAGCGACTACTGAATACTGAATAGGAATTCCTGAAGAGGAAGTTTTAAAATTATTGAGTATATGATTGATCGTATATTTTGTATATCAAAACTCTGCCTTATGTTTGTTTTATTTATTCTCGTGAGAATTCTGATTACTAAGAATCCACATGGTCGTTATCAATGGCTGTGCAAAAAGAATTCCTGAATAATCCTATATCCTTCTTTCTCTGAACTCAAAAATGCATTTCTGTTGTATTTGTTGGAAATACATTTGACCATTTCTGTAACAGAAGACAATGGCTGAGACTCCCATACACTACAGCAGATTCTAAGAGAAACTCACTGCCATCGAGTCATTGCTGACTCAGAGCGACCCTGTCCATGGGACAGGGCAGACCTGCGCTTTGGGTGTCCTGCACTGCACATCTTTACAGAAGCCAATGGCCTCCTTTTTCACTCTGGGGTAGTTGGTGGGTTCACAGTGCTGACCTGTGGTTAGCAATCCAGCATGCAATCCAGTGTGACACCAGGACTCACTTGTAGGAAATTAGTGCTCAGAAAAAAGAGATTCAAAACCTGGAACACTGCAAGAAGTAATAATATACTGATGTAGAAATCAATCACACTTTTTTATTTCCTTAAAGATGATTACTACTGGGGGTAGTGGAGTGCAATCTGTTTCCTCACGGATATTCTATCCCACTTTTCCCATCTCGGGTCTTTTGTACTGACTTGCCTAACTCACCACATCACTTTAAGGGGATGGTACAAGCGATAGGAGTAGCACAGGGAGGAAATTCACCCCCAGGTGGGTCCTTTGCTCTTTCTCTCTTCCAATCTGACCACACTCCTACCTGTAATCTCAAAAACAGTAACTGGAGCTTTAACTTGAGGTGCATCTTGCCCAGTGTCCTAAGTCTTTGAAAATGAGGCTCCAGCTTTATGTGATTAATTTTTCCCAACACGGAATATCTGCTCTGATACTTCCAATGTTTAATTGAATCCCTACCACCCTCTTCATATATACTTGAAGCTAATGGATTTAAGCCAATATTTTATGCACACATTCTCTCTCCCTCTCCCTCTCCGTTTCTCTCTCCCTCTCTCTCTCCCTCTCCCTCTCCCTCTCCTCTCTTTCTCTCAGCCATCAATTGATGCCAACTCATAGCAACCTTCTAGCATATGGCAGAACTGCCCTGTGAATTTCCGAAACTCATTGTTTACAGGAGTAGAAAGCTCCATCTTTCTCCCAATGAGTGGCTGGTAGTTTTCAATGGAGGCCCTTGTGGATAACAGCCCAACTCATAAGAACGAACCTACCAGGGTCCTTTTGACCCATGTTAGGCCATCATCATTTCTTCTCCAAACCATGTTAGTTGCCATTTTAATCAATGTGTGTTCTAGCTCCACCCTTCAATCCCCATAAAAGTTTGATCTATTTACTTACCACCTACATAGACCTCCTGAGAAGATTCATTTATTAGTTTTCCATTGTATGGTTTGCCCTAAATATTTAGTTATCTCTTTTCCTACCTTATTACATCACTGGTCTCTGTCACACTGCATGTCCTCATCCATTGGCCCAACCCCAGTGAAAATAGCTTTTCATTTTTGGCCTTCATCTTCCTCGTGTCCAACAAATCTGTCCTAACACCTCTGTCAAAGTAACAGGGAAAGCCTGATGAGTTAGAGTATGCATGCTGTGTTTGCTTTTGTAGATTTGTTTGATTAATAAAGCTAATAGTAGTACTGGTTTTTATAAATGTACTGATTCATCAACATTCAATATTTCGCATGAACTTAGTCATCCAACCATAGAAATTTTTGAAAGGTCAAACAAAAGTGGGGAAAATCGACAATGAGAGACTCCTAAGTCAAATATTAACAATAGTGGAATATAATAAATACGATGAAAACCCCGAGGAAAGGTGGCACTAGAGTGAATTTTTCAGGAGAGTTCACAATGAGTTGGACAAGGGGAGGAGACTGTTGCCAAGAGAAGGGACAGTGCCCCTCCCACACAGAAGGGGCTGGCAGAGGGCGATATCGGTAGCCTAGCACGGTCGGCTCAAGAACTGCAAGCAGTTCAAGCCGTCAAGAAGCAGGGATGTACTGTAGAAGTAACAACATCTGCTGCTAAAGAGATAAACGGGTTAAAGGAAGAGGCGTCTGAGCAGTGGCCTGAAAAAGGAAGGTCAGTCCCGAAAGATGAAATGGAAAATTATCAGAATTTTAATTTTAGAGTGATCATTCTGATTGAAATATAGAGAACAGACTGGGAGTGAGAAGAAATGAAGCTAAAATGGTCCTGAGGAGAAATTATAGTGGCTGCCTTAAGACGGATGCAATAAAAATACAGGAGAGGGTGTTGCCCCTATACTGTTGGACAGCAGAAAGATGTATAAAGCTTAGTGACAGGTCAGAAGGGGAATGAAGTGGGTTGATTTTTGTGGGAAATGATGAATAGCTTTTATTTTATAAGTGGTAGAGATGCAAAAAGTCATCGAACTAGTAGGAGGAGCTGCTTTCTCGGAGTGGAGTAGACCCCGGTGACTTCAGAGAGTCAAGCCTGTGGGAGTGGAGACTTGGGGATATTAATTTGCTTATAAGGTAAGACTCAAGAAGAAACAACTGCAAAATACTGCTAATAATCAAAAATTGGAATGTGTGAAATAAGAATCTAGGAAAATTTGAAGTCATCAAAAATGAAATCGAACATATAACTCCTAGGAATTAATGAGCTGAAATGGATTGGTATTAGCCATTTGAATCAGGAAATCATGTGGTTGGAATGAGATGTGCCTGCAATGGCATAATCAAGAGGAAAGGCATTGCATTCATTGTCAAAAAGGACATATCAAATCAATCTTGAAGTACAATACTGCCTGTGGTCTGATTATATCTATCTCTCCTCAAGGGAATCCAATCAGTACAACTATTATTCAAA